AGAGAAGAGAAGAGAAGAGAAGAGAAGAGAAGAGAAGAGAAGAGAAGAGAAGAGAAAGTCGTTATTCCTTCAATAAGCTCGAATCAGGCGTTTGTGAAATGACCAAAACCTATCGTGGGTTCTCTTATGCTTAGCGTCCAACTCAATTGGACCGGGGCGTAAAATCCTCCTTCCTCAAATAATAGCGGATATGACGTTCATGAGTTCAACCATGCTTCAGACAGAACAGAAACCCGTTCCGTTGGAGATCTCCGAGCTAGGAGGTCGCGCGCAAGAGGGCACAATTTATGTAATCTGTTAATACGACGTTTAAAATATGAGCAGTGCTGACGCAACAGATGGCGCAGGAATTCGCACTGGCGTTCCGTCCGCGATCAGAACTCTTGTCTAACGGTCAAAAATGTAAGATCGGCGGTATATGATCAAGAGCTAGTAACTGTTATATCCAAAATGGTGGCATACGGCCTTTCTTGACAAATACAGACAATGTCATAATTTGGGTTTTCCGCACAGTGCGCGGCTTAATTTTAGACCATCCATATCCTCTTCACCTCTTTCAAGTAGCAAACGGCGCTGCATAATATAGAAGATCAATTTTCGTGCCACAAATAACAGTCGAAGTGCGGGCAATGGAGGCTTTATGACAACGCTATGAGCTGTGAAACTCACCACGGTTGAGAAGGATCCGAGTTTACTCCTAGCTGATGTGACACTTGCCTTCTTTACATACCAAAGCTGTTCGAAGTACTACAGGGTCAACCGGTAAATATTATGCAAGATGATATAAAGTTCTTTTAGGCGCATGGCGGTCTACTGCAGAGAAAACAAGAGTTATTGTGCATCATGGAAGTCGTGGTAAATCGAATCCAGCCCTACAAAAATCAAATCGCTCGAATAGAGGTCCAGGTTTGCTGGTTGTTAACTTCAATGTCAGGGGCCTTCTAAATGAACACTTTCGTAAGATTTTGATACTGTCTCAAACGTTTTCCTGCACGCGGAGGTATTAAGACTCCAAACACTGTACGTGCGTCTTGTGGCAGGGTACGGGTAAAAGTCTTTGAGCGCTCAAATAAAGCTTGAAAACTTTAATTTTTTCAAAAGTTGTCTTGTCCCGGACCTTTATTTGATTTATGACCTCATCTAGTTGTGACGCGGTTCTATTGCGACAATATGGGTGCCTTAAAGTCCAAAATGTGGACTATATATCCTACTAGAGGTTTTGCAAATCATGCACGCCACCTTTTAAGAAACAGAAGCGGTTTTGGCGCGGGCATAGCGTTTGTACAAAATATTAAACTGTCCGAAGCTGACAGCATTGATATTGCCAGGCGTTTCAAGAAGATCTCGGAAGACAGAGGCGGCATCGAGCCGATGCTCCATAATAAAAAAACAGTAACTATATAGCCTTATGTGGCGGGTCTGCCGTAGCTCTTTCCTTAGTGGAAGCTAAGCTAAGGTTACTGACCTTACGTTCTTTCAGAGAACCAGTACAAGTGTAGCCGATCGCAGTCCGCTACTTTTAAGTACTAAAGCCTTCACCGAGGCAAACGAACACTTCTGTCCTATATTTCATTGTTTTAATTACGGCAGAGCCGCTAATATAAGAAACCGAAGGTTTCCTATTTTATATAGTAATACCTAATTAATACAGCAAACCTGATTAATATAGCAAACCTAATTAATATAGCAAACCTAGTTAATATAGTAATATGCATCACTACTGGCAATCCTGCTATGTGGTGGCCTTTTGTTACGGTGTAGCCACACCACTGTGTCATTGCACAAACTGTGTAATCCACACCTTTGTACGGTCGCACCATCTTCTGCGACCCGCCCTTTTATACGATGGTGCGTGTAACCCCATTAAACTCTCTTCCTTTATAATCGTGATTATCCACAATTCACATTTGACTGTCGCCTCATACGAGGCTCGCGTGTTTGAGGCTCCGTTACGTTCTAGACATTATCCGCTCTGTGAGCCCTGTGTCTATGACACGCAAAACACCCAATCTAGTTGGTTCCTAGGGCGAGCGCGAGCAAAGCCATTATTCTATTTTTGCAAAGGGTGCCAATCCGATCGTGGCTTTACGGAAAGCACACCCCAAGCCCTCGACAACCGAGTGCAACACACTGCGCCCGCTCCGGGCGACGGATATCGTCGTCGAGGAGTTGGAGGAAGTCGACTACGAGTCGGATACTCCTTTTCAAAAATGAGAAGACGAGGATGAGGAGGTGCGCCAATGGCGAGACCTGAGCGCAGTTCGAACCTTGCGGACACCATGTCCGTTCTCTGACCTCTTGGCTTCCGGGGGGGCTAGTATTATTACCAATCACCTCGACGAGGCACAGGAGCAGCAATCGAAGGCTGCCCACAAGGCGGCTCACCTGCGCTCGTATCCACGTTCGGTCTTAGAACCTCGTGTAGAATACGGTTTCCGCTCGGCGGATCCCGCTACTGAAGCGAAAGACGCGATCGCTCGATCGTCAGGCATCTACGTTGTCGGACCTCCGACCAATGCACAAACTGAGGCAAATCCGTGAAAAGCTCAGCGAGCTCGCTTTCTGGTACCCCAGGAGATCCCAATAGATCGGTATCGAGCTTGTATTTATGCTCAAAAAGAAAGAGCTCTAGTTCTCGCAATGCGGACCATCCCTGTGGTGGTGAAACCGCTGCAGATGATGAGGAGCTCTTTGAGCGATGGATGCAGCGGCCCCGGGGACTTTCATCGCTGTGAACCCTACCGCTAAGCCACAAGGAAGTGAACGTGCGCGTAGAACGTTATCTTTGATTTGAGTTTGCCAAACACAAGGCGCAACGCCGACTTCCTGTGTATTGTCGCCCTGCGACATATAGAACAATCCAATACGCTCCCGCAAGCTCAGTCGATTCTCACACGGATGAGTCTACGACCACTGCAGCTCAGAGCCATAGTATGATCTCAGCTCATGGCCCTCCGGCTCCCGGGCTTTTGCCGAGAAGCGCGGGGTGCACGATGACGCGAAGCGTCATGATCCTTCTGATGATGACGGTCAGGGCAGTCCTGCCGAAGTGGCACCTCAAACCCCCTACAAGGATTTAAGGTTTGTGTATCCCCGCCACTTCACAAGATGTCGGATTAAATCTGGTCGACGATGTCAACCCACAAGGCATTCCACGTGGGAGTGGACGCCATTATTCTCATCAAGAAGAGTCGGTGGCAGGCGATGACGACTATGTCGATTGCCGTCCGGTGACTCGTGGTGCCTTTCGAGCTCTGAAGGAATAAGTCCGTTGTCATCAGCACTTTGCCGAGCATCTTGCCGAGGTCGCATACCACTTTGCGAAGAACCTCGAGAGCTTGAGCAGTTTGTGCACCGACGGCCTCACGTTGAGAACAACCGCGCTCTCCAAGCCGTCCAGCAGACGGATACGTCATATCGTGCAGCGATGGAGTGCCTGGCGCCGTTGAAATGGAATACGTTGCACTCCGAACTCAAAACCAGTTGCTGGTTCAGCTTCTGGGTAGACGAGCGCCTGTAGGCGCCGCCCCGGCGCCAACGTTTTCGCGCTTACTTGCGCCCGTCCTGGTACGGGTTAAGCAAACCCGCACAAAGTACGGGTGGGTGCGCATCCTTCTCGGTAGTTTTAGCGTATACTCAAGGCCTCGCTTAGCCATAACCTTATAAGGTCTAATAGATTGCGGATGAAGCTTCGTCTTAAATTCAGCGGAGACTGCATGGGTAGGAAGTCTTTTAGCATCAGATAAACAAATCTTCAACCTCAAAGTTTCTTCTGCTTCTCTCGTTAGCATAATCTTTCTGCATGTCTTGGCTTTCAGCCATCGCTTTGCGAACATGTCGTAGAACACTCAATCTTGAAGACAGTAAGTCATCGACTTTTTTACGGACAGTGTGGGGCCGACATCAGCTAGCCGATCGACTATTCCTCCTGCACCGCCCATCCACGAAGAACGGCATGTAGCCCGTAGATAAATGAACTGCATTGTTACAAGCAAACTATACGAGCCAGTATGGCGCTCCAGTGCTTCGTCGTCTCAGCGTAGACGCTGCGAAGATCGTCTGCAACGACGCGATTCACGCACAGTTTGACCATCGGCTTGCGAATGGTCCGCTGTTGACATAGTCAACTTGGTGCCCAGCACCCTGGAGATTGTAAGCCAAAACTACCCAGTAAAGCGTGGTTCTCAGTCAGAGACAATTGAATCCGGCAGTCCATGTGTCGAAAGATTTGATCTACAAACAGCGTCGCTGTAGCCACCCCGTCGATGGTGTCCGGCACTGCCGCAAGATGAGCCATCTTGTTCAAATGGTCCACAACGATCACCACACCCGTGTTGCCCGCCGATTCCTTCGGTTGGCCAAACACAAAGCCATACCATGGACTTTTAACACTCGGTGAGTACCGGTAAACTGTCCAGCGGCGTTGCCGCCTTCGGAGAAGGTTTCACCCTTTAGCACGTCTCACTCGTGCGCACATATGTCCTTGTCCATTTGTACAGCTTAGGCTTCCACTAGTGGCAATGCACAGAGCTATACGTCTCCTCCAACCCAGGTGACCACAGAGTGGGGTATCGTGGGCCTCATAGAGGATACGGTATTTCAAATCCTCCTCGTAAGGAACCACAGTTCGTGGCGTATCTGTTCAATCGGTACCAACCCGTTATTCCACGAATATCGGTGTAGCAGTGCGCGCAATCGCCCCGACAACTTCTTGTTTGAGTTTCCAAACTCCTTGCTCCCGAGAGCCTATGGCAGCGCTAAACAAATACCATCACCCGCGGAAGCGGCGCGGATCAAATCCGTCACTGACGACATCACCGTCGAGGCATGAGCAGGCTCATAATCCGGCCTACGTGGCAACGCATTCGCCAAAGCATTCTGCTTTCCTGGCGTATACTTCACCTCGAGGTTATATTCTGCGTAGATTGAGAGCCACCTGACCATCCTCTGTGCGAGGTGAGGCGACTCAGTCGCAGTGCAGTGCGCAACGACACATGATCTGTGTAGATCGCAAACGGTTTCGAGCCAAGCAGCTGCATCCTGAACTTGACATGTGCATACAGCCGATGGCGAAGTCCGAAGCGTCACAGACGACACTAAACGGACGATCGGAGCCTGGCAACATAGGTATTGGTGCATGAAGGAGGGTTTCTTTGACCCAGTCAAAAGCCTCCCATTCTCGGTGTTTCCATATTCATCTTGAGGAGATTTGACAATGGCCGTGCCATTTCAGCATAATTTGCGCTATACTTGTGCAAGTAGTTGGCAAAGCCAAACCGCTTACGTAAGATGTACAAGGCTTCTATGACTTAAGCCACAATAAATTTTTTGCCTCGCTAAGGTTTTACTAGATGTGCGATACCGTTCAACTATGAAAAAGTTGTGTTCTGGTGGGAATTCACTGATGATGGATCACTGGTGATTGATACGCTCTCTAACACAATATTCTGTCATCCATCGGGCTTTCAGCAAAGCTTTAATGCGTTTGCATATGGAAATTGAGAGTCTATTTAAATTTCTTCAATTACTTCAAAACTGCGACAGGAAATAATTTACTTTAATGAGAACGCAGCTAATATAG